TCCATAGACTTCCTCTCCCACCATTGTGTGAATCAATTCCGTTATGGAAAGGAAAGAATGAAAGTTTTCTCAGGGAAAGTAAGAAGAAGGTGAAAGAAGAAAAAGCTGGACAGGCAGCTAATGTTCTTGAAGCCTAAGATATAATTGAGCCCATGAAAAATAAAAATTGGTACGTTCAGCCAGCCTTCAGGAGGCTTAATATTTAGTTGTGAAAGGGAATTTGAACAGATCTAAAGCCCTCAATTGAAAGTGGCAAGAAGCTTTGCAATTAGGCTTGAGTTTAGGGAGAAGTGATTTGAGGCCAAATTTTGGAGTCAGCAGGTCTGGGATCCAGTCAGCGCAGCATCTTCTGGAGGGATGTAGTGGAAGACCAAGGAACAGAGAAGGTTAATGAAACCCCACTTAGGCATGGCAGAGAATATAGCTAGATTTAGCAGATTAAATGGGCTAATCTCATAACTTATTTCAAAGAAGAAATTGTAGACATTGTGTGACTGGCTTACAGACTGTTGGATCTGTGTGGGTGATTAATATGGAAATGCTCAGGCTCTGCTCTGATTACCTTCCTATGTAGTCTTAGGTATGTCAGAAAAAGCTCAAAACATTCTGGTACCAGTGGTCTCAGGATACACTTTGGGAAACAAAGCACTGGTAAAGGAAGGCAAAAGTCATTAGTTCTCCCATGGGAATTAACAGGATTGGGAGGGAGGCCTTGCAGCTAGGCAGCCTGATTGTTGTCACTATTATGGAAGTACAGGGAGACCTAAAGATTTAGGAACATGGAAGTGGGAACAGAATTAGCCCCTCAGCTGGAGAGGGTGTTCCCATAGCCCTTCCTCTTCTCCCACATATACATGATCTCTTTCTTAGGCAGTCATTGTCACATCTGAGAACAGCATGAAACTAATAGAAATCAAGCTGGAGTTTGCCCCTGTGAGCAGGATGGCTTTATACCAAGGAGAATTCTGTTCTTGGGGCACTGTAGCTTCTGGCAGCTATCCTGTAATGAGTGTGTTCTTTGTCAAATTTGTTAAGAAAATATGGATCATCACTTACAAACAAGCAAGCAAGCAAGCAAATAAACAGAAAACCCAAAAAACCACCAGCCTGTTATTGGAACTAGGAGAAATCGTAGTGGCAAATTAAGTTTAATGGGTTCATCCCATGTAAAAACCATCCTAGTCTACCCCTTTTCTTTGGTAAATAATTGACATAGATAAGCACTTTACACAGCTTCGGATTGTAACCTCTTGCCCACTCAAAGGCAAGGGCTATCCAGGGCTTCTTAGGAACCACCCAGTCTGTCTCCGCTCCTGTCTTCTCCTACAGGGAGTGGTTACCCCCTCCCCAAACCATGCACCCACTCCAGGGGTCATCACCTGCAGGTTGTTTACTTCAGCCTTTTCCAGCTCATTCTTCCATCTGCTCCTTTTTAGCCATAAATATTTGTACCCCCTTACCCTCCACTACCCAAGAAAACATCTCGGGATAGGTCAGAGGTAAAGATTCCTAACCCAGGCAATATCTTAGACAATCACTTGTCAGCTCTAGAAAGCAGCATCCTTTGGGCTACTTTCTAGAGATTGTTTTCATGCTTCTGACACAGACTTTTTAAAAAAAAAAAACTCCTAGGAGATTCAAATAGACACTTTGGATCGAAAACCCAATTCAATGTAGTTGGTTGGTGTAACAGTACAAGCAGTACACCTTTCTCAAGGAGAATGGAGGCTGTAAAATTTGAAGTGGAAATGGCTATTTTAAAATAATGCCTTTTTCTCCGTCTCAGGCCAAGTAGGTTCACCATCGCTTCTAACAGTTTAAAAGAATTTTAGAGGCCATGGCATCACCTTAAGTAGTGCGCAGGAGCAACAAGCCAGCAGGGAGATGACACTTAAGCCCCTCTCCCAGGCATAGGTGTGCACATTCGAAGATGCGTACGCACCCATGCCCCAGGTGTCCTCAATCACCTTCCTTGTTAACATGATCAAGGCCACAGGTGATAGCCACAGGGGCTAGTGGTACGAAAAGCCTGATTAATTAATTTACCCTACAAATCCCAAGCACATGCCTGTTCCCCACAGAGTTCTCCTTCCTGTTTTTCTCCTTAGTAAAGGCTGTTTTTTGTTCTTCACTAGCATTCAAAATGAAGCCAAACAATAAGAGCTGTTTCTTTGCTTTATGGTATCTGCGGTAGTGTTGCCCACTCTGCCGTGGCAATCAGGTGTGACTTGAATCTACCCATGACCTCTGACACTCAGGTTGTAGAGTGACCTTCCTCGTGTCCTTCACCCTCAGGGGCTCATGTTACAGTGGAGGCAGGTCCAGGGCTCCAGAGCCCTCTGCAAGTAGTGAACTCCATTGTCCTGTGGACTGTGTGGTCACATGGGGGGGGTCCATGGATAACACATACAGTGATCTTAGTTTTGTGGTCTGGGGATGAGCAGTGGAGATTTTAGGTGGGTAATTGAAAGAAAAAAAATTTCATTTTGATGAGTCCTCAGTCCTATTGGATAAACAGCTTTTGAAGTATGTCAGTTCATCCTTGAAAGAAAATAATTGCCAGGAGAAAAACCCTAATAATTCTCCTCCAAGCATTTTAAGTACTTTATTGTAAGAGCCAAATGGAAGTTAGATCTGGAAATAAAAAATAGTGATGGACAACTGAAGGTCAACATTCAGTTTAGTCTCCAAACTCCCCTGTGTCAGGCTCCATGCAAACTCCTCCAATAAGTTTTTGTCTTTTTTCTTTGTATTTTCTACGAGACTATTTTGTGACATAATCCTTGTTTTTCTGAACCTCCTTGGCTTCAAATTTCGGATTGTGCATTGAAACCAAAAACATTTTAAAATTCCAATTTTAATTCAGAATTGACTCTGAAGGACAAAAATTGAAAACTCGAGGCGTAGTTTCTGCCTCTGTTGTTGGTTGCTCTGACTGGCGTTCTAAGTAACTTAAACACCACTCACAGTTCTGCTGGTCTTTTTGACCTCCCTTTTTCCTTTCTGTAATTACTGAATATAACCCTTAAAACTCATGTAGAACCAAATACAGAGTCTAAACTCTGTGATCTCATTACCACAAAAACAGGCTGTAGGGACAGCCCTTCTTCTGGCAGGAAACCGGCTCCCCTTGGGACTGCTGTAGCTGTAATTTATGGTGGTGCCTTGGTAGTCTTCAACTCAGAAAAGACTTTCCCCCTTATGAAAGTAGTGTAACAAAAGGGTTGCTGGAGGCAGGAGGCAGTGCGTACACAGACTGTTACAGATCCCATTCTAGGGGTGCGCTCATGTCCCGGGGCCCATGGGCCTGTCTGATGGGGCATGTGGTGGGCTGTGATGGATACTCCCTTTTACTTGTCTGTTGTTGGGGTTGTGATAAATGACAAGCTTGCTTTTTCTGCTGAGGTGAGCTTTATGAAGTGAGCTTGGCTGCAGTACTTGTAACAGCTGTGAAATGGATTCTCTCCCTGGCTGCCAGAGAGGCCTCTATAAAGAGGCAGGTGATCCCTTTTAGAAGTAAATAATATGCGAAGGTCTCAGATATTTGAGCTACTGTTCACCAGGTGGTGCTGTCCTGCAGTGAATGCTTAAATACTACCAGGGAGGTTGGCAGCCTGGGGAAGGTAAAACCTGGGGTGCTCAGAGCCTTGGCAGTATGGGGGGTGGTTGCTGATGACATGAGATGAGGAAGCATGTTACATGGTCCTATGTAGGATCATGTAGGCTTCTCCTCTGTGTTCTGAGTGAGCTTTTACGGTCTCTGAAGTGTGTGTGTGGGGGGGGGGGGGGGGTGGAGGGGAGAGAAAACCGGTCCTCTCTGCCTCAGTCCCTGCTCTCCTCCCAGAGAACAGCTCCTGTGCTCCGTTCTCATCTTTGAAGTCCCCGTGGGTGAGGGGAGCATGTCTTCCAGAGATCCTCATTAAACAGAACTTAAAGGGGGAGAAGAGGCCTCCACCCAACCTTTGCATGCACAAACCCATTATATGCCTGTGCCCTGCCAAGGTGATTTTGTTGGCCCAAACGTGACTCCACATGATTTCGTCCTTTTTGGCAATTAAGCCAGCAGCATTGCTGTGAGGGGACTGACTTGGGCGAGAGCCTGGCTGTCGGTGTGTTTGAGCAGGGATAGTACTTGTGAAAAAGAACATTTTCCAGGATTGGCATAGCAGTAAAAAGACTATTTCCCAGGGAAGTGAACTCTGAGTCAGTCATGGGAAAACTCTGGTTGGAATCCTTCCGTCAACAAAGGTGCTCGGAGCATCTGCCTCTACTTGTGATAAGAGGAGAAGGGGTGTTGGGGATGGCAGGTAAGACCAGCCCTTGAGAAACTGGTAGGAGGGGAGACCGAGGCAGAAGGAAGCAAATACTGGAAGAACACAGGCACCAGCAGGTGTTCTGAGTACTGAGGAAGGAGGGCAGAGCCCGTGGGGGCGGGGCGGGCAGGGCAGGTGATATTTGAGCTGCGCTTGCAGGATGACTAATATCCAGAGTGGGAGAGGTGTTTCAGGATGCTGGAGCAGAGGTGTGAAATTGGGCGGTGTAGTCAGACATGGTGAGCTGTGCAGAGAGCTGGGACCTGGAGGACGCAGGCAGGAAATTCAGAGCGAGGTGCCTAAGGACTCCAACACCCTATGGGCGTTAGAGGGGTTCTTGACTCGCTGGCTTAAATCTTTGCAACATTACATTTGGTATTAAGCTCTGCAAACTGATTAGGGACAGTTAAAGAGAAGATCTAAAATAGCAGAGGTAAACAGACACTTCCTGCTCAAGTCTAGAGCTTCAGTAAATGTCCCTGCTAAGCTTGGACAGAGGGGAGCAGAAAGGAGTGAGGTCTCTCAGTTTTGCTGACCAGTCCCCTGTTTTTTTCTGGGTAAAGGGTATGTATGTGCCGAAGTCTGTTTCTTTGGCTTTGTTGGGATTTTCATGGTGGTCATAGCTGGTTTTATAAACGCTGAACTTGTCTTACAGGATGAGTGCTGAGTGTGTTTTCTTTTTTCCAGGTCTCATTCCAGCTTTCTGTGGTCAACTTCTCCAGGGGAACTTTTCCAGGTGCCTCCTGAGACAGCTTCTCACTGTTACAAGCAAGTGGAGTCTGGGGTGAGGCCAGGTGAGTGGGCCGTGGGTGAGATATAGGGAGAATCCATACTCTGACTGGCTAAGTTTTCCAAGATGTTATTTTCTGAAAATCTTGAAGGCCTTGAAAGTGGGTTTTGTTCAAAGGAGTTAATAGTTGTTTTTCTTTTTAAATCACTGCTTAATAAGTATGTTTTAATATAGTAACTATCAAAAGTTGAGGTACTTGTAAATGTTTTCTACCCATTTTAGGGAGCTTTGATCACTGTCACATGCTGCTTTTCCACTGAAAACTGAATAAATGTTGAATGAGTAGTTTTTACTTAGACAAAAGGTATATATAACTGACAAAAGGTCAGACTGGCTGGCTGTTCTTCATCATTGTCATTTTCCTGCTTCCTGTCTCCCTTGAAAGTCTTGGTAAAATTTAATTACAATCCTCCTTTAGCTACCAGGAGACAAGTAAGGGAATGTTTGCAACGTGCCTTACCTGCCTATTTTTCCTGAGTTGACTTTTTAGGGTCATGCCAACTCCAGCTGGCTTAGGTTCTCTCTCCCTTCTGCCTTGTTATCTTTATTCTGTGCTGTTTGTGTCCCCTCACCCACCTTTCAAAGTGGATTTTTTTAGGTGTGAGGCTTTAGGTATTTTAGGAAATCTGTTAAACTTTTATGCTATGGTTTTCCTGTATTAGTCTCAGGTGTAAGTTGTACAACAAAAATACCTACTTTAGGGAGTTTGAGGCTAGAGGTTCCTGGTGGATAAGATTTTCATTATTTCATCTTTTTATTTGCATTTTCTACCTCCAAATGTAATGTGCAGTAGGACTAAATATGCCCTTTTTAAGAAAAGTAGGGATTATCTGGGAAGGAGCCTCCAATCTGCTCTAACTGAGCACAGCCTGGATTACTCTTGTTTATGCTAGATGTTCACAGCTGAAGCCCCAGGAGTTCTGAGCATATTGGTTGAAGGGGACTTTGGGGATTCTGTCCTGGCTCTCTACTTTCTGTGTGGTGGCCTGCTCCTCCATAGGGCTTGGGGATCAAGGTTAAAGCTACTTCCAAACCTCTATGAATTCTTCAAAGGTCCATGTTACATGTAAATGCTATCTGGCCTGTGTACTAGCTAGCAGGATTTATATTCTGCACTCTATCACTTCTCTTGCTCGTCTATGAAGAACACAGTGGCCAAAATGCCTCCCAAAATCTTTGGGAGGTTTTCCAAGGGCAGGGTTTCTGAACAGGAGCATAACAGGGGAGTGCACACCAGAATCTCCCGTGAAACTTTTAAAATTGGGATATTGGGGCTAACCCTAAGTGTGTCAAACTGGATTTCAGGGATGGGGAGGGAGTCCCTGCATGCATTTTGAAAAGCCCTCAGGAGGTGATGGTATGTAACTTCTTGAAAAATATTTGTGTGTGGAGTAGACTTAAAAACAAAAAACTCTTTCTTAGCCTGAGCAGATGTTTGGGGGAATTATTTTTGAAGTCTACTAACTAGTTTAACCAGTTTATACTGCCAAGCCAAACATTCCCCTGTTGTGCCATAATTTACATCACAGAACGATTTTATAACATAAAGTTGCCTGGGACAACACTATCTATGGTTTCAAGTAAAGAAGGGGGAGGAAAATGACATTGAAGAATAATTTAGTAGGCTTTAGGAGAGTTTAGACTACTTTGGAAATCCAGGTGGGAATCTGAAGTGGAATTTTACCTAAGTGTGCAGAGATTTGCATATTGAAACCAAAGCCTTTCAACTTGGTAACACATTCTCAAAGTTATGTGGAAAAATAGCAGTTTAAGTATATTGTCCTTAGAGGTTCACTGGACAGAAAATTAAGTCTTATATTTTTTTCTCCTTTTTCTGTGTGACAGCATTATTAGCATTTGCTAATTTCTTTACATCTTCCCTCAGAACAACTTTAGCAAGTAGATGTGGGCTTAATACCAGAGATTGTGTTAAATAGATTTTGTGGGTTTTGATGGTCCCTTTAAAAATTCCCCTTCTAGAAAGAAAACCTTGCAACTAGTCATAACTCAGTGTTTTCATTGCTTTATGAGTTTCATGGAGACTGGTGAATTTCTATTTTGAAACCAAGGAATCTTGCTTTAGAAGGGACCTTGTAGATGACCTGTCATCTGGCTTCCATCACCTCAGTGTCACAGAAACTGTTCTTTGTAACATCACCAGTGGCCTCTGATAGAACTCTCAGCACTTAATACTTCTGACTGCTCCTCATTTAGTACTCTCCTGGGTTCCTTTACTGCTTTACATTCCTTTTTACATCTTCCTGGGTCTTGCCAGGTCTACCATACATGTCCACATTCTCTAGATTGTCATCTTTGCTGATTTGCTTTTAGGGAGCTCAGCCTTTAGGAAGGACCTCAGTACTTCATGGTTTCATTCACCACCCACAAATTAATGATCCCTTGGTTTACTCTCCTCTCAAACAATCTTTTGGACATATTTCTACTTGGATGAGTCATAAGTTCTTTTTAACTCAGGATATCCAAACTGAACTCATTTCCCCACTAATTATTTCCTGCTTCCTGTAACCCCCTCCAATTCCAAAAAAGCCCCTCACCCTCTTGCTTTCTCACTTCCAGCACTGGCACTATTCGCACCAGAAACCTGTGACTCACCCTCACCTTTCACCCCTCCCCCACTCGGTTTGCATTTTAATTGACAATTCTTATCATTTTGAAATCCTAAATTTAAAAAAGAAAAGGCTATTCCACTGACATTTAATTATTATAGGCTTTAAACTTGTAGTTGGGTATGTGTTAACAACAGATAAGACATGAGATAGTCGCAGATGTTTATGTAACACATTCCATGGTAGACATGGGATCTTGTCATATAATTTTCTCAATTTCACAACCAGTCTGTGGTATCTCATATCCGTTGTAAGTGTGGAATCAAAGATTCAGTGAGATTAATGTGCAGACCCAGGGTCACTAGTAAAACATGGTGGAGTGAGATGTGGGGATTTTAAATTTAGGGGTTGGTCTGCCTGATACCAGCCCTTCATGATGTCACTGCCATAGTCTGTTTCCATAGTGCTGCATTAGATTTCTTGGTGAGTTGCTGACTTTGTTGAGTGCAGGAACTGGCTTTTACTCATTTTAGTTTGACCCTGGAACAACTTGGTGATTAGGTGTGTGAATACCCCAGTCAAAAGTTTGCATATGCATATGACATAGTTGGTTTTCAGAATCCCAGGTTCTGCTGCTGCAGATTGAACCAACTGACATCCATAATTGGTTGAATCCATGAATAGGAAAACCTGGATTACTGTGTCTGAGTAGACACAACGAGTTCAAACCTATTTTGTTCTAGGGTTAACTGCATAATTTTTAATTAATAATTGGTGCTGAGGACAAGGTTTGAGATGACAAATCCCTGGTCCTTGTGTTCTGTGGCTTTTTACTTGGGTTCAGCCCCAACTCTTCCCTTTTGCTATGCGTTTGCAGCATGGTGTGAGTTGGGAGGGTGAGACCATGTTGTTTATCCTCATGGGTTAGATGGGAAGCATGAGGGAAAGTGCTTTAAAACAGGGGCATTTTAAAGAACATTTCCTTTAGTTGTGGAAGTCGATAATTGGCTGACTCAGATGATCCTCTCTTTATTTATAAATGACAGCATGAAGATGTGAAGTCTTCTGGATCCCTAGTGGTCATGCTGGTTGAATTATTTATGTGCCTGCAATAATAAAGGCAGAAAAGGCTCTTTTATGTAAAGATTTGATTAATAAAGATAGTTTGTATAGCACCAGTTTTTAAGATAAGGTAGTGCTGTGTAGATCTAATTCTAGAATACAAGGATGGAATCTACAACTTAGGTAGTACATATTTAGATGTAGGCAGGTGAATTAGTTTACTGAAATTTGCTCTGTTCTTTTAAAGTAGTTGGGTAGAGGATTTGGATGTTTTGTGTTGTAACAAAACTGGCCTTAAATTATGGCACTAATAGTTCTATATTTTGGTTTCTCATAGCTCTCTGCCCTGTCCCAAGATGGCAATGTTCTTAATTGTCCTTCCCAATTCTACCTTTCTATCATATTTTGACAACCAAAGCTTGTATAAGGAGAGGGTTCTTTTTAAAAATAGGCAACCAACTTTTCATTGTGGATTTTAGAAACCAGTTAGCTTTTCTAAGTTTCAGAGGTGTGTGTGTATGTGTGTGTGTGTGTGTGTGTGTGTGTATTTTAAAGAATTGCCCTATACATTTGGGATAAAGGCATGTATTTTGCAAAATTATTTTAACTGCAATGTGACAAAAATAATGTATAGACAGTAGTGTAACTGGTCCTTGGTCAGGGGTAGTTGCCCAAACTTTGTTATCACAGACCTGCAGTTTTGGATCTAAAAAGGCCTCAGATGGGTCATGAAGAGAAGAATCAGAGTTCATGTCAATGAGATTGAAATGGAGAAAGTCAGAGTTGAAAGCAGTGGTTCTCAGGAGTGTGGACTCTGAGGAGCAGTGGTATTTCATCAGCTAGGAGCCATTAAAACCATCTCATCTTCATCCCAGACCTAAAAATCAGACTCTGGGACCCAGCAGTTTGACATATCAACCCCTTATAGGTGATTCTGGTGCTCTTTGACTTTGAGAAGAATCAAGCCGGAGGCTTTTGCAGTAGTTCAGCAGAGGGATAGGAAAGACTTTCCAGAAAAAAGTGGAGAGAGATGGAGACAGGAGAATCAGTCATTTGGTTAGCTGTTTATCAGACAAAGAGGGGCCTGAGGATGTAGAGGCCGTGTGTCTGCTGTCCTGATAGGGGGTGCTGCTTATCCACAGGAACCTAGAACATGGGCTGGTGAGAGGATTTTGGAGGGTGGGGGAAAGGAAGATGAGTTCAAACTTGGGCATGTGAAATTCATTGTCAGGGTTGAGGTGAGCAACTCTAAAACAAAGCAGTTGCAGTCCAGGTGAAACAATGGGAAGGGAGATGGATCTGTGAGTCATCTGCATGGATGTGGCAGTTGAAGTGAACACTCAGATGGTTTTTCCAAGGAAAATGACTCAGAAAA